ACGAGGCAAGGTTAATTTTTTAAGTGGGGATACACGGCTCTTTGAAAGAACAAAAGACGTACAGCAAGAATCAGGATCACGAAAATATGCAACAGCTCCATATCCCTTGAGGCTGGCGTCACAAAAGACAAAAAGCTCTATTTTATCGAAATTTACACATTCATCATTTAATATGTATTTTCTAGGAATACACAAGTTGAGAATAACTTCAATTTCAAAGTACCAAGTTTAAAATTTTCACTCAAATAACTGGGCAAAATTGTGTCCCAATAAGTACCCAATTCCCATAACTCTTGTAATAAGAATTTTATTCTGATAACAAAAGGTGCAATGAAGCCAACTGGATCATAAATTTTTGCCACAATCTGTAATACCTTTCGCTTCGTAACGTGTTTCCAGTCAACTGGTTGTAAAAGTTCTTGTACATCTAATTTCAATGTGTCCTCATCCAAATTCCAAATTATTCCCAGCACCTTTAACGTTTTCTTATCCAAATTATCTTCCTTATTAATTAAACCAATATCTTGCCAATAATTTTTTAAAGATACGGAATTTGATTCAAATTTTCTTAAGTTCATACCAGCGTCTTGAAGAATTTTAACTGCATCAGTTGATAATGAGAAACTTCTTCAACGGAGTCTGCTCCATGGATAAGGTCATCAACATATAAGAACTTATTTAACATGTCAACAGCTTTGCTATATTTCTTTTCATAACCCTTAATATGATGTTTGATAGTGGCGGACAAAATAAAACGGACTTGTTGTCATTCCAAACGGCACTCGGCACATTCGGAAAACCTTAAAGCCTAAACTATTGTCACTATCGTCGTAAGAATGATCAAACCACAAGAACCTTAAAAAATTTTCTATCTTCACTATCAATTTGAATTTGGTGAAAAGCCTTCTCTATGTCTGCACAAAATGCAACTTTATGTACTCGAAATTTTAAAATTATATCCAACAAGTTAGGATTTAAATTAGGGCCTGATATCAAACATTCATTTAACGATTTAGCTCCTTCAGACTTAGAAGAGGCATCATAAAAACTATTCTTATTCTTGTTGTTACTTTTCCTTCACGTATAACGGGCCTATGAGGCATATAATAACAGTTAGGTTCATTTTCAACAACAAACTTACATTGTTCAACAATCCCCTTTTCAACTTGTTCTCTAATTATATTATCATATTCATTATATAGGAAATCATTTCCCTTTAATTTATGCTTTAGTCCTAGAAATCGTTGTTTAGCAACGAAAAAATTATCAGCGAGTTGTGATTTATTGTCCTTCCAAAAGAGTTTTGTTTCGTACCTGCCGTTATTAAATTTTAAACTGTCGTTAAAATGCTTAATAGTATCCAAATCAGTTTCCGAAAATGTTTTGTTTTCATTTTCAATTCCTATCGAATCCAATTTCCAAAATGACTGCAAATCAAATGTGTTTCCTTCAACGGCAGATAAAAACAACGCATTAATTCGAGTATTATTATTTTTTACTTTACCACCCATCACTGTGTATCCAAATATAGTCGGTACTATAAACAAACCATCATTTATCATTGAATTACTTCCTGTTTGTATATACCAGAAATGCTCCGCGCCAAGCAGAACAATATTTATGTTCTCATTAACGGGACTTGTATCCGAAAGTTCCAAACCGTTTTTTAGTCATAAATTCTTTAATGTTTTGACATGTTGATGGCGCCTGGAATTCTATTGATGATATTAATTCTATCCCTATATAGCTTCTACAACAAGGCAGCGATCATCGTTTTTATTTTTTATTTTTAGACTATATACATCAAATTCTTGCGAGTTACTACGCACTGATTTCCAAACGAATAGAATTGTTAGAGATTCTTTTCTAATGACTTGCAATTCTAAATCGCGCGCTAAATTCTAACTTGTGGGTGGATGAAGTTTCGTTCACTACCTGAATCAATTAATAATCTTACGATTCTCGATTTATTTTTGCTTTGAGCAATAACAGAACATGTCTGTAAAAGCACACTATTTTCAGGTTTTAGAGTGTTACAGTGGGAAGTAGATACTAAAGTTTTATTTTGCGTATCTGCGGATTTAACATCTTCCATTTCTTTCGATTTCAAACGGCAGAAAAGTTTATTATGATTTTTCTCGTTACAATTTTCGCATGATTGTATTTTTGACCGAGAAAACGACGACAAATGTGATCTCAGAGGCATTTGTAACAGCGACCTTCATGTTTCAATTTGTTTCGTTTTTGTTCGTCGGAAAATTTCAAACATCCGGTATGTTCGTTTGATTTGCAGAATATGCAAAACATTTTTACCGATGTGTTAAAAGCAGAAGCTTGTGATTTGCCTTTATAATTTTTTAACCCTTGTTTAGGATTAACCCCTGTGTATTTATTACCTTTTGAGCTATTAATCAAAATACTTGCTTCTCGGCATTCAGTTTCGATTTTAATGAACTCTATTAATTCACTTACTTCTATATTTTGGTTAGATGTTCTTTTTCTATGGAATTCAAGAGCTAAATCTTCAGGTAACAATTTAAGAATTATTGGGTTCAATAACTGTCCGTATGAACCGCTAGTAAAATCTAAACTACTTAAATTTCTAACGCAGATTTGTAACTGATCATAGAGCTTTCTTAACTCAAAAACATTTGAAGAACTTTTAACTGGTTCTAACTGGTTCTCACATCTGCATGAATTTTGATATAATAACATCTTTACGACCAAACCTCTCTTCTAAACTTTTAATGCATAGATCATAATTTTCTTCAGATAAAGCATAACCAGAAACACAATTATATGCTGAACCAGATAATAAACTTTTCAAATATATAAACTTATCTATTTTAGATAAACTTGGATTAGAATGAATAGCATTATCATACGAATTAAAGAATTCGAGCCATTTACTGGGATCACCAGCGAATTTTTCAATATTTAATTTAGGTAACTTTACTGAAGCACTACTTGTAACAACATTATTACCATTCAGAGTACTACTAATACCATTACTAGTTGTAATTATACTTCTTTCAACAACTTCATTACTGTTAATTTTCTTTACTTTACTAACAATCTTAGCTTTAAAACGTTATAATTTTTCATCATCATACTCTTCACATACAAGTAGTTCGTTATCATATTCTTTTTCATCAATTATGAGAGCATAGCTCTTTGAGTCAAGAGTTTTAAGTTTATCATGGTATTCAATTAACAATTCATATGATGAATTTAGATCTTCTAGATGTTCTTTACTTAATTCTTCCGATAATAATTTCTCAAGTTTATTTAGAAGTGTAGTAACTTTACTACGTACAATAGCACGTTTCTTTTTCTCTTTTGCTAAATCATCCATTATGTTTCGTTTTCAAAGATCGATACCAAGAACAAATAAATCAAATTTCTTACCTTTCGAAAGGTAATTCCCCTTTTCGCGGGTTTCAGACCCCCAAAAAATGTGGTGTCTCTCTTCATGAGTCATAATTTCAAAGATCGTTTCGTTTCATGAGTCAAGGTTGGGAGAGCATTAGAATTTCAAATCAAAACTTCAAGATTTCATAGAACATAGAAATAACATTTATTAACGATAAACTTATATTACTTCCGCTTATAACGGCCATGAAACATAATCAAGCATCAAATAAATATGACATGCGTCTTTCTTCATGTTCAAACGTTAAGTGGAATATTTTTCATCGGCGCGCATCAAGAGCGCCACCTATCTACCAAAAAGACGGAACAATTAGAAAATATCTTGATGCATATGACAATATTTTCATTTGACTGTCATGTAACTCTGGCGGTATTATTACTTAAGATTTATTGGCAATACGATATGAGTGAAATTTTGTGTGTTAAAAGTGAAGAAAACTAATTTAGAAGTCAAACAACAAAAATCAGCGTTATATTTGCAATTTTTCTCAGGTCTAATTTCGATGGTTTTACTGAACCATCATTCTCAGCTGCCAAAGCGCAAAGCTAGTCCTGTGAAAATTTGCAATTATAACGGTGTTTTTTGTTCTTTGACTTCTAATTTAATACTTGTTCGGCTTGTTTTTTTAATCTTATGTAAAGATAATCTCAATGACAAAGCGACAGTTTTTAAAATTAGCAGAGCAGGTTTTTACGCATTCTAACAAGAATGTCAACGATAGCATCCAGTGCTACTGAACCCGATGTGAACAATATTTTGAAACCATTTATAATTTAAAGAGAATTTTCTAGTTTTCGAAATCAAAAGTAAAATAGTGGTTTTGCTGGTTTACTCAAGTAATGGCTCTAAATGGTTTTTAATTTAATTTAAATTGCTGTACTTTGTTTGCACATGAGTAAATAATTTTCAACTTGGATATCACTAATTGTTTAAATTTTAATTACACTATTTACATTAAATTATATGCAGGATATTCAAAATTTTGAACTGAATACTGATGTATTTGCTCTCGAATATTTGTTTGATTTCTCTGTTTTATTGGGTAGTTTATAATTACATTACTTTAGGTCCTTCCTCACATGTTAGATCATCCTGCGTATAGGATGACTTTAACGAAAACTTACCAAGTTCCGTTATGAAGATAATCTCATATCAAGATTTAGTTGCATAATAATTCGATTAATACGGGCGCATATCTGTAGCATTGTTTTTGCAACCATGTAAAATGGAAACAGCAATCATTTTCTTTTTTTTTTCAAAAGAGCATGTTCAGAATGATGACATCAGAATTTGTTCAAAATCTGCGAGGTATGAAAGCACCTTTAGACGCTTTTCGATTTGAGAGTTATAAACAAGTGGATACTATATACAGCATATTGTTACTATATATAAAACAGTACAGTGGATTAATTCCTATCAAATATGTTGTTTTCTACGAAATAGTTCTTAAACTTCTAAGAATTTACAAGCATGCAAGAAAACTTTCTCCAAAAAAGGGAAGTTACTATCTTCCTGCGAAAGATATTTTGATTGCCTGGCGAATAAGATGAAGATGCGTTGAATTTAAGAAGGAAGTAAAGGTAGAAGGGAAAGGAAACATCGAGTAAAATTTCACTTTTAAATTGTAGATTATTCCGGATAAACAGAAGTAATTTTCGAAATTAGTATATTTATTCATTGTGAAGCTGAAGCTGTAGGAATAGGTGAGTCCTATAAATTTATTTTATAATAAATTATTTTAGGACCACTTTTCTAGTGAATGATTTTCAGCAAGTTAAAAGATTTTACATTTTTATTTACTTTATAATTTTGGATTTTACTATATCCAAAAATATAGTTTATATTTTCCAGCCATAAATGTGTAAAGTGTTTCCAAAGTTCTTGGAATTCCACTCAAATTAAACAACGTTGTCAACCAGGAAAAAGTCTTGATAGTTAAGTTAAAATAACACACGGAATAATGATTATTGGAGTAGTCAAACAACAAGAATCAGTGTTATATTTGTAAATTTCGCAGGACTAGTTTCGATGTTTTAATTACAGAACCATGGAAACTAATCCTGCAAAATTTACAAATGTAACGCTGATTCTTATTGTTTGACTTCCCCAATAATGACAATTTTATGTTGCTATCTCGTACACTCTTCTTTAATCCCATTCAGCTGTTTGATACAGGCGCATTTTTATAACATCGTTTTTGCAACTATGGAAAATGCAAAGAGCAACCATTTTCTTTTTTTTCGAAAGAAAGTGTGACTACTTCAGACTTTGCTACGAATAATGTTGAAAAGCTGCATTGTAATATTAATGAAAATTGACTAAATAAAAAAGTTATATCTAAATTCCTAAATCTTTGGAAATATTCTTCATATTTTTTATGTTATTGTTAAAAATTCATCACTATGCATTTAAAGAACTTAATGCTTTAGATGATATTTTAGATGCATATATAGTGGCTCGCATTTCTTTTCGGGCATTCGTGCTTTACGATTTTCTTTGGAAATACCGCTTACTAAATGCTAGCGAATGATCACTATATGTGATCTTTCACATATACTATTAATCATGGTTTTTGAAATCTGCTTGTCTTGAGCCCGCCAATGGCCGAACGGTAAAGTTGCTGAGCATTGGTAGTTCTGTCTATCGTTCGAAGACTGCATGGGCGTTTTCGTGGCTTTTCCCGTGTGTAACGTGTATACATGCCAGTTTCCTTCAGACAGTCCTCCACGAAGGCATTCCTTCCCTTAGGCAGATAGCCCTAGAGTGCTTTGCCATAATTAAATAAACCAAACCAATCCTGATTGCTTTGAAAAAAGTTGTTCAAAACTTTTAAATAAAAAAAAGTAATTTATTCAAAACTTTTTTAACATTAACCCATATAAGTATATAGATATATACATAAACAAACAGTTTATATATAATGAAAATATGAAAATAATGGGACGTTTAATATTTCGTTTCTCATCTTCTAGCGAAAGTTTCATTTTTGCGCATTTTGGGGATGGATTAAACTATTTTTTTCTTATAACAATGTTCCATTTCCTCCATAAGAACTGCTTTTTAAAAGAACTGCCGGCGCTTTTATGTGACTTCTTCCTTACTACATATGGCTTTAAATCAATAAAAATTAATTATCAGTTTGATTATTACTTTTTTTGTAATGAATGGAATCTTGTATATACTAATCCAGCTGCTATTTGGCTGTCGGCCCAAAAACTCACCTTGATCATCACCACCTTAAAAATATCTATTCCTACGGGTCTATACTGATTTTGCTGAAAATCCCTCGTTTAGGGGATTAAAGTTGCACAGAATTCTCCAAACGGTCTCCAAATAATTAAATGCGGCTCTATCCACAAGACTTTAATAAAAGCTAAGTATTCCAATCTATATAAATTTGCTGCACTATGATATTATGTAAGAAATACACACACATAGCTGGGGAATACATGGATGTTATTATTTACATAACTGATCATTGTTCATTCTGTTAAATTGCAGATTTACATCTGCGTTTATATTTGATAAATTTTGGTTTCTTAAAAAGCAGTATAAATTCTTGAAATTCTTTCTTGTTACACAACGTTAAAATGAAGATTTTATATAAAAGCATTAATAATTATCATTGAAATAATTATTGAAATAATTACAAATATGTAATTTAGATGAAAATATCCTTCTTAATGAAAAAGCCTTTTTTAATTTAGGTGCAAACAAAAGAACTGCCACTCGGTTTTGTTACGAGTAACTTCGTTCTAGATTTCAGAAGCTTGAGAAGAGCCACAGACATGCGTCTGAAAATGATGATTGTCCTCTACGCTTTGGTATTTCTCACGATTTTCTTCGTAACAGCAACTGGATTATTAGAGTTTGGTTCATGTTCAACGAAGTGCCAAATAAGTTTGTTAGACACTTCTGCTTCTAGAATATTCCCACTACATCAATGCTCTTGTTCTCAGAGCTGCGCAATTTATGGAGATTGTTGTTATGATTCTGTGTACCGGACTCAAGGTAAGGAATGCTCAGTCTTCATAACTTACTACATGCGCCAACAAACCCAAAGACAGAAAAGATATATTCTTATTAGGAACTAAATTAAATTTATGTATACTAGATAAAAAGGGGAAAAAAGTATTATAATATAATAAATACATAATGCATAGACAATGTATATTGTTTAGTCAATTTAGGATTAATCAACATCATCATTCTTTTTCTACCATTTACGGCGCTCGGGATCACACATTTTCATCTCGATGCTTGTGTTATGATGACGTACCGAAGTAACGATAATACAAAGACCTCCAGTGAAACGGTGTTTTGATACACCAGGGTATCAGGGCAGAGGCCCAATCGCTTGTAGAAAGGTTGAAAATTTCGAATGATGAAAGGCAATAACAAAAAATATGCGTATAAATTTTTTTTAAATTGATTAATTAATAAATTGTTTTAAATAAAAAGGTAAGGTTGGGAATATAGAACATTTCGCTAAAGGAAATCGAATGAGAGAAAGTTCAAAGCCATCAAACTGATGATGAAGTGAGGTATGTAACTATGAGAAAAAACATTATAAAGCAGTGCGAAACAGTTGACACTCTGAATCCACTGAGATATACAAGAAAAACATATAAGATAGTATGATAAATACAAATGCACGAGATACTTAAATGGTTACCGGAATACATGTAAAAATAGAAGAAAGTACATATTAAGTATCTACGAGAAGGAATAGAATGAGTAAATTAGTAATTGTGCAAGGTACCAAAGATGTCTACAAATATCGAAAGTACAGTAGTTAAAATATCTATGGAAATATTGGTAGAATATACAAATAATAAGTACAAACAAAGGCGTATACACTTTAAAAATTCATATGAACCCAGTCAGCAATATTCTATTAATTATTGTGCCCAACGATAGTACAAAATAGAACAAGAAGACTTTTATACTAAAGCGTAAGAATGACAAATGGCATAAAGAGAAGCTCGTTATCGGGCAAAGAAGCGTCATTAATTCGAATTTCAGGGTTGCAGATATGCGATCTCGTTTAAAACATGAAATTTTGAATGTTATACAGTAGTAATAACAGCAAATTTGATTCTCTGCAAGATCACGGAGGAATGCAAGTTCCCTACTCGCATTCCTGTCTATCTCACTCATGTATCTTCTGATCTTTCACACATAATTTTTCTCTGCCATGTCACTGTTTGATATCATAGCTTTTAGCTTACCGAATTTCAGCTATATTTGAATTTTGAGATATCTGTCATTATTTAAATGTATGCAAAAATAGCTAATATGAAATATGACTCACTTTTAAAATTATGTTTCATTTCAAAGCGTCTATTTATGCATTTATTTTTTGTCTGGTATGCGATGGAAAACTAAAAATATTTACATGTGTCTCAAATATTAATTTTGAAAAGTGAGATATGAATTTTCATTCTCTCTTTGTATTTGTAATTTACAGTTTCAGGGAACCCCAAACATAGCTGCAGAAAAAACTGATAGTTGTAGCTTTTCATTTGTATTTCATTTGTATTGTCTTTTCATTTGTATTTGTATGTCAAAATTTAAATACAGATCTTTCGATAATCTATGCCCAATCTAAAAATGTTCAGCTCTTGCGGACTGAATCTAAATACGTTGAGAAAATTTCCCATTTCATTAATTTTATTGTCATTTTTATCCTGAACTTCTTATTTATTTAAACATTAGTATTTTTAACATACCATCTTAAAATTATTAATTATTTTTACAATAATGAGGGGTATTTGATTACCATCTTCGCTAACAATGCATGAACCTGAGGCTCCAGATTTTATATACCACCGAAATTATTCTGGAATTTCCTGTATTATTTTTCCTACTTAAAAACAAGAAAAATTAGCTCTAGGGATCCTTAAAAAGATGCTGTATGTAAGTCCTTAGATTGCTTTAATCAGGTCTTAAATGTGACTTAATTACAAATTGTGTAATAATAGCTGTAACCAGAATAATTTATTTTGCAAATTCATTCAGACTGAAAATTGGTCGCGGAATTTAAAATAAGCAATATAAAACAATATAAAACAATATAACAATATAAAACAATATAAACAATATAAAACAATATAAACAATATAAAACATTACTTTCATAGGCAAACAAGGTAATACCAGGGAACAAATATCCATATTTACAACAATCCTAAGTTATAAAATAAATAATAGTTAAAGGCCTTTAAAAATAAAATATGAAAAATAATTTAAAGTTTGTTTTCCTGTATAGAAAAAATAACTGAGCAAAACCTTCTGGCAAAAATTTAATATATGTTTCGAAGACTAGATGAGGTTTATTTGAGTATGGTAAATCCCACTAGGGCTGTCTGTTATTAAGGGGAGAAATGCCTTCGTGTTTTTAAGGGAACCTGGACTGTATTGAAGTTACATACCGAGGAAATCAGACATGCAGTGAGCCCGTTCGCCTGGAATCAAACTCGAACTGAACTGTCAGTATCCAGCGATCTTAACGGTTTCTGGTTGGACCATAGGTTTCGGTGATAGCCACACTCATTAGCATTTGGAATAAAAGATACTGATCTTCAGATATCATACAATAACTTTCAGACCTCAGGGTACCAGAGTTCCATCTTGATTTCAGCTTATACTTTTAATCAGAATCTCAAAAGAAACGCATCTTCTTTTCTGTGTGTAAACTGAAAAATTTATATCAAGGGGGCAGATTAAAGTGATATCAGAATTACCATCTCGTCAATAACTCTTTCGAAAATTTCCATATGACTCGCAGAAATGCATTTCCAAATAGTCTAATCAAAATAACCGAGAAATAAATTACTAGATCAGAAGCTCAGCTACTATCAAGCTTTAAATCGGATAGAAGCTACAACCAACAGCTCATCATCTTCCACCGGGTCACATAGTAAAACTCTTGCTGAGATGATTAGTCTAACTGAAACTATCTTTGCAGTAATCCCCCTGGAATCACAGAAATATTTTAGATCCTTCAAGACTTTTATAGCATGTTCGAATACAGTGAAATCGGTATCAGCATTAATGTGCTAAACAAACATTTGTCTACACTGAAAGCGTGAAATAACATTTTTGAAAAATCCCACGCATTCCAGCAAATGTTTACAGAATTAAATGATTTTGCTACACCTAACTAATCACCGAATTCATTTTCCCTCTACTCTAAGTTTGTGCCGTTCCTTCACACTTCGGTTTAGGCCAGTTTAAAAAGTGTATGGGGTTCTAACTTCTTCTCTTATAGCTATGTGGGTGGAACCTCAAGAACTGGTAAGCGAATAATCACTTTAGCTCAGGAAACAAAAACGTAAACTCAAGAACGGTTAATTACCCTTTATTTCTCAAAAAAAGAATTTACAGACGGCTCCTGTCTTAGAGAGTACGGACAAGCTTCCACTTGGGCTTGAACTCGAGAGTACTAAGAAATCAAACTTAACTAATGCTTAGCTAAAAAGATATAGCCGAAGCTCTCAAAATTCTAAAGGAGTTGGTCCCTAAATGTTAACTAAACGGCGGAGTTATCAATGGCCTGAAATACGGCCGAGCGTAGTAATAGCTTAAACCTCAATCACACTATGTTTCAGCTACGCGGGACTTGACGTCAAAAGGGACAATTCTCAAAACCCGCACAATTCCAGGAAACCCAGCTAGGTTACCATTTTCACTTACTACAAAGATTTGAACGGCAAACACTAATCGATTATCGCTCAGATTGGGATCACGAGATGCTTCAGAAGCAGAACTTTCGTCTGATTGGTTGTGTCTACCCGGGACAGAGGTCCAGCCGAGACATTTTCGGTGAGGTTTTAAAACATCCTTGTAGCCGCAACATCGTTTCCATAGCTAGGCGGGACTTTGCTTCAGGCGGGGCTCTTTTTTCTAGGAATCCTCCCGTTTAAACCAGTGCTACCAGAATCTCGTTTCTCAGAAAAGTCCCGTCTAGCAGGGACTGTAGCCATGTGTGATAACCTCTTTAGAGAGAGTGTAGACAAAAGGCAAACGCGTGCTAGTCAGAATCTTTGGCTCCCTAACGAAGTCAGTGGAATTTAAGAACCGCTCTTCCTTCATTTGCATTAACCGCAAATCTAGAAACACACTCTGGCAGGAAATTGTAAGCTGAAATTAAGACGGACAAGGAAGTGGCTTGAACTAACTATGACTGTTAAAAACTTAGGATTAACCTTACAACTCTATCTGAAAATAATCACTCCCTTCTTCCCAAAGCCTGAAGGCTAAGCTTGCTGGTCCTCTTTCATTTCTCGTACTCATGTGACCATTGGAACTAAAGAGTAGAATGTAGAATTCTGCTCAGGAACCTTCTTCCACGGTCTGCGTGCTTTCTTTTCCGACGCTCGTTATTACTGGCTGTTTTATGAGAAGGAAGGAAAGCATGATTTACTGTGAGAACTTTCATGGGTTCCGGCTAATCATATTGTTGCGTGCGTGCGGGTTCGTAATAGATTGAATGCATAAGTCTGATGAAAGGTTAATAAAATTTATTCTTATCACAAGATATAAAACAAACAATATCACTCGTACAATATCACAGTATCATACAGTAGTTATATTTTAAACTACTAAGACGTTAAATAGAACACAATTCAAGCGCAGAAAAGGCTAATCCGATCTCACCCCGAATTCGCTACAGTCAACAACAAAAACTTAGTAAACGTAAACAACTGAACTGCGATGTTTTTCTCTGGCTTTTTAGTCATATACAAGAAAATTCTGGTAATTTTTATTCTCTTGAGATTTCTGGAGAGCAAAAGAGAAGAATTACAGTTACGGCTAACACACAATTGCATTTATTAAATTTAAATATAAATTATGAGATATCTATTTATTAAATGTGAGTGTTCCTGTATTTTTAATTTTTCGGCGTAGCTTTCTCTTGGAACTCGTCACACGCTGCATTGCGCGGGGAAATAACAAAATTTTAATTACAATTATGCTAAAAATAGTTAAATAAATACAAAATCTGCA